GCATCATCACTCCAAGCAGTGCTACCAGCAAAAGGTTATTCCTCCCATGCTAACCCCACCGTGGGAAAATTGCCTAAATTGTCAGTGTAGACACCACCCAAGTGCACATGCCCTTGCAGATAAGATCTTGTGTGGCTTCCTGCACTTCGTTCTGTATATGGAAAGAATAGTCATTTTTAGATGTGACAGAGCCAGCTGCATTCAAAACAAGCAGAGAGGCTCAGGTATTGGTGCAGGGTGCCCTGGGCTGGTGCGTTCACTTCAGAACACTCCCCGTTTCCCATACTCTCTGTTTCGCAATCAGATGACTGGAAGAGTGGTTGGGTGCTCATGGCTTGGCCTGAACCTGTCAGGTTTGGGTAATTTCCTGCATCCTATGGTCAGTGCACCCCCACACACTTTAGCTATGATTTAATGTATTATTGCCCAGCTTTGAATTATTCCCCATCCTCATCCAAACTTCCTGTGCGTTCTCTGTAGGTGTTTATCTTTGGAAAACAAAATTACAACAAAATCACAGAATCCCAGCCTGGTTTAGGTTGGAAGAGACCTCAAAGCTCCTCCAGTTCCAGCCCCTACCACGGACATGGACCCCTTCCACTGGAGCAGCTTGCTCCAAGCCCCTGTGTCCAACCTGGCCTTGAACACTGCCAGGGATGGGGCAGCCACAGCTTCTCTGGGCACCCTGTGCCAGCGCCTCAGCACCCTCACAGGGAAGAGCTTCCAAAATGTCCAAATACATTTTTCACTTTTACCATAACTAAATCAAAGAATGACCCAGAGCTCCCCCGGGATGAGAAGACTCATGGACTTTGATGGGATGTGAATCAGGCTATGGGTCATTGACTTTTCTCCTCTATAAGCAGTGGCTTTATCATGTACCTGTCCCATATATGCTTGCAGCATGCAAGGCAAGAGGGGGACCAGCCTTTCCCATACGTCTGTTGTGGTCTGTGGCAGGAGGGTTAGGCACTTTTCTGTGTAGCAATAATGTTATTTCTTTGCTGTTATTAGATTACAGGCTGGAAACTTATGTATGAACTGTATTTTGTGAAAAGGCCACTTGCACCACCATGCAAGACTGTAACATGTTCTCTTCGTAGCTGAGGGAGAGTGAGTAGCCCCAATAAGTTGACAATATCTTAGTGTTCACTGAAGCTGTTCCATGCTCCTGCACCGTAGCCAGGTTTTTTGCCCTGACTGATTGGCTGGTGGAGTCAGGGAGGTTTCTCCTGTGTAGGATTTTTGTGGCCTGGTTTAATCCAACCTGAGTCCGAGGACCTGTAGTTGAATGAATGTGGTTGGGTAGGGCCAGGCCAAGGGGAATGCCTTGAACCTGCCCGAGGGGAGACTGAGTTGAGCTCTTAGGCAGAAGCTCTTCCCTGTGAGGGTGCTGAGGCGCTGGCACAGGGTGCCCAGAGAAGCTGTGGCTGCCCCATCCCTGGCAGTGTTCAAGGCCAGGTTGGACACAGGGGCTTGGAGCAAGCTGCTCCAGTGGAAGGGGTCCCTGCCCGAGGTAGGGGTTGGAGCTGGAGGAGCTTTAAGGTCCCTTCCAACCTAAACCAGGCTGGGATTCTGTGCGATTCTATGATTCCATGATCGCTGCCTCCCAGCACAGCTTGGAGAGCGCACCACTGCATGTGGGGAATGCAGGTTTCTTGGCTGGGGAGGGGGATTCTCACCAGTCAGTTCCAGCACGCTGTCTGCCTAATTCAAGTGTTTGTTTTCTAACTCCAAAATGAGTCTGCGAATGAGGTGTTGCTTTTCTGGAGATCTTATCATCTAGAAACAGACTGTTAAAAATAGGGTCGTTTTACACAAAACTTGTTTGTGGAGTGAAACAATTCAAAACATGATAATAACAAAACAAAGTCTTAAAATAGCTGTAAGTCCAGACCACAGGCACAGCTGCCAAGCACTTTCATCTTTATTACAGTTACTCATATCTCTTCTCTTATTATTCCTATTGTAAACACTCTGATTTTATCGCAGTCATCCTCAGCCACCAGCCCATGTAACTGCAGCCTGTGATCCAGCCTGGGTGCTCTGTCCTGGGACCCAGGTCATGCACGTCCTTCCACATTCAGCTTTGTGCATGGCCAAGTCTGCTGCCCCACTGCTGATGGTGTTCCCATTTCTGCACACTTTTTCTGCTTCATCACCTGCTTTAGCTGGGTGATGTTAAAATGATGCTAAACCAGCTTGTGTGATGTGCTTGAAGTTCTCCTGCCCCACAGCAGTGGTGGTTTGAGCTGTGTCTGCTACAGCTGGGGCTGAAGGTGATGTCTCTCCACCCTTTGGCTAAATGAGTATTTGTTTCTCTACACCCTTTGGTTCAGGGTAGAAAATGCATCCAGTAAAGGAGGAAAACCTGACCTCAGACAGCACATGTTCATCTGATGAAGTCACCTCTACAGTTAATAGCGATGGAGATAAACCTGTGTCATTTAGATAACAGTTCTGCAATTAGGTTAATCTGAACGTGCATGTGAACCTTAGGAAGCTATTAGGAAAACCATTGTATGCTTGCATCTAAAAGTAACAGGTTACTTGGTTAATACAAGGTATTAACCAGTTAATACTTGGTTTATACAAGGTACCAGTGAGATCCAATGGTGAAATAAGATTTGGAGAGTTGCAAGTCTTATCTCGGTGAGATAGCTAGGAGAAAAAGAAAACCAGCTGCCAAAGCAAGGGAGACCCAAACCCCTTCTTCAGGGCCAAAACAGAAGTAGCAGCCTTCAACTTGTATACGTGTTGAGAATAATTACACAGCTGGAACTTTGTGGTGTTAATCTGGTCTTTTGAGAGAAAAGTCATATGAGACTGGTGGAGCAGAGTAGCATATTGGTCTCTAATCAAGTAGAATCATGAAATGGTTTGGGTTGGAAGGGACCTTAAAGCTCCTCCAGCTCCAACCCCTGCCATGGGCAGGGACCCCTTCCACTGGAGCAGCTTGCTCCAAGCCCCTGTGTCCAACCTGGCCTTGAACACTGCCAGGGATGGGGCAGCCACAGCTTCTCTGGGCACCCTGTGCCAGCGCCTCAGCACCCTCACAGGGAAGAGCTTCTGCCTAAGATCTAATGTAAATTAACCTGTTTCGGTTATAAAGTTTGGAGTAAGAGAGGGAGATTTGGTTGAAGATTTAGCTGGGCTGAGGAATGGTAATGTGATAATGTGCCTCTCTCTTCAGTCTCTGGTTTGCAGCACACAGTCACTGTTAACCTTAGCTTCTGCTTTTGTCACTTAAAGCTCATCCACTGATTGCTCTTTTGGGAGGAAGCCTGGACCGTCAGTGATGCAAGTGTTCGTTTTGTGTTAAAACCGACCCCAACCCCCACAAACCAACCCAAAACAAGCAGGGACAAAAGCATATCTCTGTTCTTTCTGAACTGTAAGATTGAAAACCAATCTGCTGCTCTGTGTGTGTCTGCTTTGGTACAGTCAGTCTTTGAGGCAGCGGATGAAGTGCCCACAGGAATTTCCCAGAAGGTGGTGGAAGCCAGGGCTTCCTCTGTGAGCAGGGCTCCATAAGCTGTGGGGATTGGGCTGTGGTGCAGAATGTGGTTTTCCAGCAGCCAGTTAACTTGAGGGGTCATCTCAGTGCTAGGAGAGATGGCAGGGGATGTGTCTCAAGGGGTGCTCCAGCTCCCACTTAGCTTGCTTTTCTGGTTAATTTGTTCTATGAGGGTTTCATCCAGGTGAAGGGTAATGCTGAGGTATGTGTTTGCCGGGGGGGGGAATGTGCATTTTTTACTGTATTAGGTTAGTTTACTCATTCTGTAACCAGCCCAGATCTAAAATGTACCTATTTTGACAAATCCATCATTTCCATGATCTTTCTCTCCAAGCAGAATCAATCTCAGAAAGGAGAGCAGAGAAGGCTGATGAAGATGAGAGCTTTTCCTCTAAGCCCTCATGTGAATAAACATGGGTTTGTGCCCTCAGCTGATGATGGGCTCTGCATGGGGCAGAGATGTGTTTTCAAACACTGTTTACAACCATTTGGGAAAATACAGCCTTACTGTGCAAAGTGATTAGAAGGACTCTTCATGTCAAACATCCTTCATAGCTCAGCTCATTCACAATTACATCAGTACTAATACATAATGTGCTAGAAAGCTCCTTCCTCTTACTACTCTATTGACAGGAGCAATACACTATTAAAGAACACCGTTGTAAGCTTATTCTGTACCTGAGGTCCTGGTATTCTCACACACTCCAGAAAGGAGATGCTATTAGCTGCTTACAATCTTACTTAGTTTACCTGCCTCCCCAGCAGAGCACAGTTAGATCTTCATGCATTTCTGTGATCACCACCCTGGGACAGGAGAGACAATGGCTGAAGCAGTTCTTCTCGCTGTCAGAGTTCCTGCAGTTCACTGCAGCAGTTTCCTCATCTGCAGAGGATCCTGGTTGGGAGTTCCTTTGTGACTGTGGTGGGTTTTGGCTTATCAGAGACTTGAGGATACCACAAAAGGGAAAAATGCCATTCTTCCCATCTTTCTGACTGATGAAGCCTGGCACTTCCAAGGGGGTGGAGTCAAAGACCTCTTGATTTCAGGGTCTTTTAAATCTTGAATTGCTCCCATAAATTCCAACTATTTCACGACAGTCAGAAGGCAGAGCAAGGTGGATAACGTTCATTAAGAAAGGGGTGTTTGGTCAGCTGTGATTTCAAATGATAGCCATGGAAAATACCCTCCAAGCTGGTTCTGTCCCAGCTTTCTCACTCTTTCCTGCCAGACAACTTGATCTTTAATTCTTGCTCCAGGGTATGCTGCTGTTCAGAATATGCAGCTCTGCCAGGAGTGTTCTTGTTTTTAAGAGGTATGCATGTAGCTAAATGTTTATATGATTTATACTTAAATCTAACAGGAATCATTCACACATTAAACATTTGTGTAATAGTGTATACTTGGCTTTGGATGGACTAATGCCCATTTATCCACTGTGGTGGTGTTCTCCTAAATGTACCACTTTTTTCTTTTATTTTCTAGGCAGCCATGCTGAGTATTAAGCTAAAATTGCAGCCAGATCAAGATGTGGAGAAGGTGAGTCATAGCCTCTGCAGGCTTCTCTGTCATCAGATCCACCTTTTGTTAAGCAGGAGATACATCATGGCCCTCCAAGTTGGGCTGTCTTTCACTTGAGGCTTTACTTTGTTCCCAAGAAGCAACTGCTGCAATGCCAATGTACCCTTTTCATCCAGGGAGAAGTGACACAGTGTGTTCTCACAGTTCCCACTGCAGTTTACCAGAGTGCTTCTCATGCTGCAGCCACTCTTATAAAACATTCATAGAATCCCAGACTGGTTTGGGTTGAAGGGACCTTAAAGCTCACCCAGTCCCAACCCCCTGCCATGGGCAGGGACACCTTCCACTAGAGCAGCTTACTCCAAGCCCCATCCAACCTGGCCTTGAGCACTGCCAGGGATGGTTATCACTGGTTGAATTTACTGATTTTGCTGTTTGGAAGCTTTTCTCATGTTTGTGTTGAAAATGTCCCATCACTCTCAGGCAGTGCTGGTTGTTGAGCAGGGGGGTTGTGACCTGCTCACCGTGTCTGAGCAGCAGGGAACAGGACAGCCCTTGGACAGGTTTCAGTCTGTAGTGTCATGAGCCTCTTCTTCATGGCCTTTTGTATGCTGCAGCTCTCACTCTGTGGAACATGGTGATCAAAGGCAGGGCACAGGGCTTTAAATGTGATTTCTTCTCTTAGATGTGCACGCCACTTCTGCTCCAAGATAAAATTAACTTGATGGAAGATTATGTGGAAGAATATCCTGAGCTCCAGAGCAAGCTCTTGCACATCCTGGACACGTGGTGTGAACCCCATTTTAACATCAAAGACATCACAAGGTAGAAACATTTGTTGACTTTCTGAACATCTGGGGCCAAGTTGCTGTCAGAGGAGAGTATCTTCTATCTAAGATAATTCCTCAGCATAGTGGAGTGCAATATATTTACTCTTCAGCTGAGAAAGGGTAAATTCTGGTACCTGTGCCACAGAGCCCATGAGACAGAGGTGTCATTCCTAGTGACAGATGCTCAGCTCCTGCCAGGAGAGATGAGTGCAAAATGAAACCTGAGCAGTAGTTCTTAGCAATACAGCAATAGCAGAGCTTCCTCCAGGAGGCTGTAGCAATCACACTGTCGTGCTTTGCTGCAGACAAGGGCAAGTTTCAGTATCGGTTGTACAGGTTTTGCAGGAAGATAATACTGTGATGAAGTGGCAGAAAAACAAGAGCTGCAAGTGGTTAACCTCCATGTGCTCATGAAAGTTGTGTGTGTGTTAGTTTATAAACTGCTTCTCACTAGAATAGCTCCTCTCAGTCACAGACCCAACAGCACAGTCAAGCTCACAGTGCAGATGCAATAGCTGCAGTCTTGCTTCTGAAAAAAGACAAGAGGGAGTTGCTTGCTTTCTCTTTCTTTAAAATAAGCCTCTGGACCTGCTTCAGTCACTGGCTGGGCAATGCGTGTGGTTGTATTGTTGGCTTTTTGCTGTAATCTGGGAAAGGCTGGGGACTGTTCTTACCAGCTCATAGCAAACCCAAATACCTCTGCTGCTAAATCTGCTATTTGGGAAGCAACAAAGTTCAGGAGATTCCAGAGATGTTTCTTTCAGATTTCATTTATTTGCTTACAGACAGTACCAAGGCCTGTTCAGGTACAAGCCGGAGAAATTTAACCGCAAAACACTAAGCAAGCTGGTCTTCAGGCTCCTAGAGCGGTTTAACGTTGATCCAGGTATGCGATATTGCAACACATTGTGGACTTATCTCACCAGCAGAGAACAGATGAGGTCAATTTGTCTTCTTCCATGTTCAGCAAGAAACCTCTGGTGCAATTCATCACGGGGAGTTTCAGGGTTTAATTAATGATACTGGAAAACAAAGCTGGTAAGTTATGGGAATTATCACTTTGGACTGTCAAAGAATGAAGTGCTTGTGACTAATAGACTGCTTCTGCCATGATGGGAAATAAATCTTGACCTCAGAAAGGCTCTACGTAAACACATGATGGTCAGCTTTGAGTTATGACTCCATTCCACTCACATAAGAGGCAAGTCATCATTCGTCTGGGGATCTGTTTTCTTGAGTTATGGGTCTGTCAGCTGGGAAGAGATAACCCTTGGGAAGCAGGAGCCTCACAGCTCTTTGTATTCTTTGCATAAACTAGGGTTGGTGGAAGGGAATTTGAAGGCTCTTCCAGCCTTCTGAGAGCAGTAACACATTTTACATCAGTGACTAGATCTGCTTCATTAGTAGTTACCTAATGAAAACTACTTTGTTTTGCTTTGGTTGGTTGTTAGCAGGGACTGTTGATCTTCTTTTCCTTCTCTTTGGGACCTTCCTTCAGCCACCTTTAGGTGCACTGTTAGGTTTTACCCTGCAAAGCTTTCCATCAGCACCTCAAGATCTGCAATTTTCTTTTCATGGACTGAAAGGTGTTTTCTAACCACAAATTGTGGGCTTATTACACCTGGCAGCAGCACTGTTGCATATTAATCTTCACATCTTCAGACTGGTATTCAAAAGTTAGTAAGATAATTCTTACAAACCCCCATTGGAGGCTAAGTAAATATAATTAAAATTAGCACATTGGTGTAAAAGCTGAGACGTATGAGGGTGATTTATTTAAAATGTAAAACCTTCCCAGGAGTTCACTTGTCTTCAGAAATTTTCCTACTTTACAAGGTTGGTCATTCAGTAGGCTCTATTGTCTGCTATGATCTGTAATGAGAATTGAGTTGTTCCCCTTTCACAGTATCACAGTATCACAGTATGTTAGAGATTGGAAGGGACCTCAAAAGATCATCTAGTCCAATCCCCCTGCCGGAGCAGGAACACCTAGATAAGGTTACACAGGAACGTGTCCAGGCGGGTCTTGAATGTCTCCAAAGAAGGAGATTCCACAACCTCCCTGGGCAGCCTGTTCCAGTGTTCCGTCACCCTCACTGAGAAGAAGTTTCTTCTCAGGTTTAAGTGGAACCTCTTGTGTTCCAATTTGTACCCATTGCCCCTTGTCCTTTCATTGTTTGCCACTGAGAAGAGCCTGGCTCCATCCTCGTGACACTCCCCCTTTATATATTTATATACACTAATAAGGTCACCCCTCAATCTCCTCTTCTCCAAACTATAGAGACCCAGCTCCCTCAGTCTTTCCTCATAAGGAAGATGCTCCACTCCCTTAATCATCTTAGTTGCCCTGTGCTGGACTCTCTCCAGCAGGTCCCTGTCCTTCTTAAACTGAGGGGCCCAGAACTGGACACAATATTCCAGATGAGATCTCACCAGGGCAGTAGGCTCTATTGTCTGCTATGATCTGTAATGAGAATTGAGTTGTTCCCCTTTCCTTGTGACAGATGCACCAAGGGTATGGTATTTACTGTAGAGGTGAAATGATGGAACTTGTTCATGTGCAAAATCCTGAGAAACTAGGAAAGAAAAGTTCTAGGAGAGGAGCACGTAGGTGCTTATCCCAGGTGTCCTCAGCCTGGTGATGGTGTCCCAGACGGTGCTGCTAATAATAGCCAAATCTTGCTGGTCCTCCACAACACATTCACTGGTGGTAATGACAACACATTCCTTGATGTAGATACAGATCCCATTCCTTCCTACACATCCAGAGAGTGACTTATCCTGTGCAAACTGCAGTGTCTACAGTGCAGGGTAAGTCACTTGCTAGATAGGGCTGTCCACCTTTGCTGATGTGAGAGGGGATGCGGGCTTCTGGTTTAGACAAGATGCCAGATTTGGGGCAGCTAAAACGAGTGCTGAATGACTTTCATACTCCATAGATGAAAGTAGGCATTTATTTTTTACATAATATCACATGTAATTCAGAGCAGAACTTCTAATTTCACTGAACTGTGGCTGTTTTATTGTCCCTTGAAGTGTTTTGGAAAGGGGTGAATGCCTACAGAGGAATTTCTGCTGTAGTGCTGATCCTGCTTGAACTGAACTGGGAAATGGTGACAGCTGGAATAATATGGCTTTCTTTTCTTCCCACCATTGTGCTTTCCCTTCTTCTGGATTTCTGGGTGTTCTTTCTCCATTCTTCAGTGGAAGTAAATCTGACTGCAAGGAAAGAGCCTGCAGAAAGGAAGCAGGTTAGGTAAACCATACAGATGAAGCCCCCATTTCTCTGGTTCTCAATAGCTCCACCAAAAGCTGGCAGAGGTAAAACTCACCCTTTGTTACCTGACTGTGGGCTTGTTGGATGCTTCAGTCTTCTGCTGCTTTCTGTCTCCTCTTTGCTCATGACTCCACTTGCTGATAGAGGCTGAGAGCAGCAGCATAAGAGGGAAGTGGCTTTTGGTGAGAAAGGCAGGAGGAGGATAGGGTTTCTTGATATAAGGCAAACTTGTAGGTGACTCAGTTCTTGCAGTTTCAAATCTACTTTCATATTTCACTGCCCAAGCTCACTCTTACCACTCACAGTAGATTTCACTGACTTCTAAGGAAAATACAGGTGTTGATCAGCCATTAAGATTTGAAACACTCCTTGGAACTGCCAGTTTTACGTTTTGGAGCCACATGGGAGGTTGGTCCAATATAAACAGGATCTGGAACCCCACGGGCAAAAAAAAAAGCATCATCTTAGATCAGTTCCACCTCTTCTTTTTCCAAACCATATTCCAGAATTCCTATTAACGCACCTAGTAAGGGGAAGATTTTCTGCCAGTTCCAAAAGGTGCATCAGTAAATTGTGTATGGATTCCATTTAACTGGCTTTAGTGGGGAAGCTGGGCAGAAATGGCATGTGATTGAGGAAATTGGGTTTTATAGAGTCTTTTCTCACCCGTGGGACAGCATGCTCTGCTGTAATGAGCCTGTAGCTTCTGCAGGCTAATTACTTACTACTCTTTGGAGACCCCGTGAGCCTGACTTAGATTTACAAATTCAAGTGTCAGAACAGTTCTCAGAGGTGATGGGACAGACCCTGCAAGGGGTTGAGGCTGTTTTCTGCTGCTTTGCACAGCTGGTGTAGCACAGAGGGTTCAGTGGCAGTTCCCATTGAAAATTTGTTGGGTATGAGGTAGAAATGATGCCACTCTGAAAAGTACAACTGTCCTCAGAAACTGGGCCTTAGTGCCTGTGTGACAATAACGCAGACAGTAACGGTGTTAACAGAAGAGAGATGGTAGCTGAATGCACAGTGAGCAGCTGTCCTGTAGCAGTGTAGTAAATCAGCTGAGCACCCTCAGGTTTGAATGCGATGCAGATGTTTCTACCATACTCTTTAAACCTGGTTCTTTTTAGCATAAATTAAGAGAAGTGTTTCTCTTCATCTGACCACCAGGTTATCCTTTTCATTTAATCTTTCCATCTGGTGTGAACCTCCCTCACTAAACCCCAGTTCTGGTTGGCCAGATGAAGCGTTCCCACTGCCTCAGCGCTGGGGCAGCAGAGGGCAGACGAGGGCTGCTCAGCAGCTTGTGCATCTCCTCAGGTGAGGCACCACTGTCCTCAGGTCCTGGAGAGCTGCGGGCACAACCTAGGGCAGTCACCAGGGAGAGCTCCAGCAGGACTGTGGGAATCCACACTGGGCGCTTTCAAAAGATGCTCTGTTAAGAGACCAGGAATGACTGTTAGAGCTCCACAGGGATGCTTTTGGAAGGGGGAAGTTTCAAATGTTTTTGCCCTTTCCTCATGAAAACATGGTTATTCCTTCCCTTTACATTTGTTTTACAAGGGTTGTTTCCCCCTAGTTCCATGGTGATTTTCCTTCAGCGTGTTTTAGCTCTCATGTTATGTACCAGCACATCTCTACCCAGCACTGTGACTGAGAAGAACCTCTAGGCTTGGACATCAGGAGATAGGAGCCAGCCATTCATGAGGCTGCACTGGCCGCAGAGTCAATCTGAAAGGAGAGGGGATTGAACATCCAAGGATCCTTTCTGGGGCTATTGCCTTCTCAGATACATTTTGTCTACTGAAGATGATCTGCGTTAGACCAAGACAAGCAGGCCAGCAGCTCCAGTCTTTGAGTTGGAAAAGCTGACCCTGTCCTTGCAGTTCTGAGCATGAATTCATCATACCCAGGCACGAGTCTAAAGACCACAGCAGGGCGTTTTTTCCTTTAGGCATAGATCAAACCCTTGTGCTGTGCTCTCTGCTCTTCCTCCAGTCACTTGGGCAGGTAGCTCAGGGGCTGGGGGATACTCTGGGGCCTCTGCTGTTTCACCTGCCCTTCTGAGGACTGCTGACCCTGCTCTGTAGTGGCACAGAGCATTTGATGAGAGGCACCACTGCATCTTTGAAGTGACAACAAAATGAGGTTTTCTTGAGTCCTGCCCTACCCTCCACTAATTCACACGTGGGGCCTAGGCTCATAATACATGAGAGACTAATGCCCAGCTTGCTTCTCAGGGGATTCCCTGGAATCCTTAATCCTTAGCAATACCAGGGTAAAAGCCTCTTGTGTTTCAGGTACCTGGTTTTGTTAAGAAAAGGCTCCTTTACTTTGTCCCCAGACAAGGTGTGCTTTGTCTGACATATTCTGTACTGCCAGGGTGAAGGAGTCTCATTGTGAATGGAAGTCAAGCTCTCAGGGCAGTGTAAAGGGAAGATTGGGTCCACATCCCAGCTCAGGAGGCATCGTGTATCACCTGGGAGCGGTAGCCACACACCACACCTAAAAGTGTATTGCGCCATGTCCCCAGTAGACACATCTCACCCATGTTACAAGCGTGAGATAAGTATGTATTGCGGGTTTCATACCCTGTCTGTGTGACAGATGGATTTCATTTTTACTTCCTCTGTGTTGCTGATGGCCATTGACTCTGTGCTAACAGCTGAGAGCAGACTGGGATTTTTGCTTCTGAGTCAGTCCCAGATGTGAAGTGTGGTTCAGATGAAGCACTGTTGTGGTGCAACTGTCAGGTTAAGAGTTAACATATGCCCAGAGGTGCTGTTATAGTGTTAAACCTTTTGTATTCCACTAGTGCTCCACAACCCAGTCATGATCCCAAAACCCCATTGTACAAACACTGAATAGAAGCATGGTCCCTGTTCCGGAGAGCTTAGGATGTTGTCTTTTGCACCAACATTGGTTTTGGCTCAGGAGACCTGAGTTCAAACTCCTGTTCACTCAGCTAAATGAGTTGCTATGTCCTGAAGCAGATTTCTGGATTGGATTTCTGCAGATGTAAGGTGTAGATAGATGGTCATGAAATGGCAGGGAAAAGGTCTGACAAAGACTCAGCAGTCCCATCTGTGTCACCTTCCTGCCCAAAAGCCAAAGGACCTCCTTCTGCTACTGCTGATATGCAGGGAGCATAGAATCATAGAATAGTTAGGGCTGGAAAGTACCTTAAGATCATCAAGTTCCAACCCCCTCCCATGGGCAGGAGCACCTCCTACTAAACCAGGTCACCCAAGGCTCTGTCCAGCCTGGCCTTGAACACTGCCAGGGATGAAGCATTCACAACCTCCCTGGGCAACCCATTCCAGTGCCTCACCACCTTTACAGTAAAGAATTTCCTCCTTATATCCAATCTAAACTTCCCCTGTTTAAGTTTAAACCCATTCCTCCTTGTCCTGTGGCTACAGTCCCTAATGAACATGGAACCTATTGATAAAGACCTCTAAGGTGGAAAGTTTGCTATCTCCTGTGCCACCTATGCCAGTTCTCTTCTAGCGTTGCCATTTCATTTCTGTTGTGTTTTCGTTGTTTGGGTTTTTTTCCTCCAAGAGGCTGGATGAAATCTTTTGCCTTTATGACTTTGATAGATGCACCTTATGTTTTACTTTGGCTGTACCAATTTTGTGTTTGTCCTGTTCTTTTGTATGCGTGTGTTCCACTTCCCATGTTCTTTTAACTTCTTTTTTGGGACTGAGATCAGTAGAAGTTAGGTCCTTTGCTTCACTTCTAGTGCTTCCATTGCCAGCCCTTCTTAACTCCTTTCCCCTTAGAAAGTATTTTCACATGAAATCTTACCTGCCAGTTCCTTGATTTTATTGAAGTCCATCTTGTTGGTTTTATTTTGCTGTTCTGCCTTAGAGCTTTGAACTCTTCATTTCGTTGTCTCTTGCCAAGTGGCCTTTTCATCTTCATGCTTTTGATTAGTCCCTCCATGTTTTTTGTAATCAAATATAGAAAACTGAACTCAAACTCAGTTATTTTGCTGCACCACAATACAAAATGCTGCTCATGGCTTCAAAACTATTCCAGTCCATCCATGTTGCTCTGTCCTACTTCCCTCACAGATACCCGTGCACTTAAAACTCCTCAGTTCTGCCAAGTCCTAAGCTTTGGTTATTTCCTCTAAGCTCAGTGGATCTCCTGGGTGACCCAGAGCAGCCATGCTCTGCTCCTTTCTGAAGTGCTTTGAAATCTCTAAGTCAGGTGGTGATATCATTAACTCTTACGTTGATCTCACCTTCTTCAAAGAGTGTTGCTTTCCATGAGCTGCTGATCGTTCCTTTGGGTACTGGGATAACATCCAGAGGAAAGATCACTATTTATTGGGGTAATATCCAGTGATATGATTGCAGTAATTTCCTCACATCTTTAGTGGGTGAGGATAAGCTGTCACACTGTGGAGGATGAGCTTATAACAAACAGCTTCCAGCATTTCTGTTTGAGGTGGAAATGGTCAAGTTATGGCGTGATGCTGCTGTAACCAGTGGGACATCAGTTCCTGTCCCTCTAGATTCAGGGGCTGGCATTCTCTCAGTTTTTATTCTTTGGGCATGGCCATATGTGTGGGGCAGGGGGAGTGCAAAGCTCTGAGGTCCTTTGACTTGGTAACACCAGTTTCTCCTGGTGTATGTTGATTCAAGGGAGGCTTTTCCTTTCACTTTACTGTTTTCTGTTACCATTTCCAATTGCTGGTCCTGCTCCTTCTGACTACCAGTGAGATGGGTTTAGCCACTGAAACCCCAGTTCAGGGTTTGGTTAAACCTTTCCTTGTACATGCATACCAGCATCCAGCAAGAACTGACAGATAAGTATGCTAATCCTGTTAATGTATTTTATCTTCTGCGTTATCTCTCTTTGTGCTGGATTTCAAAACAAGGAGCTATGTGAAGACCTTGTTTTTTGCAGTTATAATGAGGCCTAGCTAATGAAGATGACAGTAATAAAATTAATAACAACTGTTGCTTGCTAGCTCAGCAAAACAATAGTCACCTCCCTCCGTGTATGGAGATGGAGTTTCTCTCATGGATATGTATTTTATCAGATAAACTTTAGCCACAAGTTTACATCCTGAGGAACATGCTCAAGAATGCTTCAATGAGTTAACAGCACAGGTCCCAATTAAATCAAAAGAACACAGCCTCTAGAGACTGGAGGTGGTGCCTTTATGAGAATACCACCTAATTAAAGGTGTGAAGTCATTGACTGGGAAGTGTATTGAACCAGTAAGTGCATCTTATCATTGCAAGGTGGTAGAACCAGAGATATCAGAACCAAGGATTAGCATTGCTAATCATGAGTGAGAGTGTAAATAACAGTTTCTTTAGATAAGCTGGCAGTGTGTGTCTCTGTCCATCATTGTTCCCAGCACGATGGCATCCTGCCTTCTACATACCGAGTTTGAAACTGGGGAAGGAAAAATGGCATGTCTAGACAGTTAAACTTCAAGGAATTTCAGCTGTGTTGTGTACTTAAATGTCTTTCTCCTTCTTCCAGCTCTCTGCCCTAATGTCGTAAATCAGCGGCACTTGAGAACTCTGAAATACCTCTTTTACAAGAGATTTGTTGAGGTATGTTTCTTCATTGTGTGCCATGGGTGTGAATGAGGCTTTTTGTTTCTTCTGCATTTCTAATAACATAATTGATATGATTGGAATGTATTGATAGTTTTCATTGTGATGATTATTATATAGAAATGCAATGGATCTGCCATTGGGCCTGTTTATTCTGAGTGAATAGTTTGTGTTTCCATTCATACTGTAATGACTGGGTGTCATGACTGCTGAGACTTGGTGCTAGTTTGCCTCAGCATCCTCAGCAGTGTTCTGAGACACATCTAGGTAGGTCACAATGTCTCTCCACACACGTATTTTCTCTCAGCTGTCTCAAATAAGCAGGAGTGTACTGGCTAGAGAGGTTCTGGGCAGTTGTGTCTTGAGTTTTTTAACACTGGGATTTAGGTAGTTCACATTGCTGGGCTCTTTGTAGGCACTTTGCTTTGGTACTTGTGGCTTGGCTGTGATAGGTATGGCCCAACCTTGCCCCAGAAGCTCTTTTGTGCTGACATGTTACTGCTGAGCAAAATGGTGGCACTTTCCACTCCTATTGTCCAGCCTCCAAATTCTCTTTCCAAATGTGCTGATACTTGTCCTGGCACTGGGGTCTTGTAGAAATAAGAAGATGCCTTCAGTTCCTTCTAAGGAGCAGGTTTCTAGGAGGCAGCTCGGAGGCTGACTCTCTGCAGAATTACTTCACTATGGTTTCTCCTCCCCTCCCATGAGTGTACTGAGCCAAGTCACTGCCCTTTGGATGCTCTTGAGCACACTGTGCTGGGGAGCCCATTTCTCCTCTTGTTAGCAAGGCAGTTTTGATGCTTCTCTTGAGAACCTGGCATTCATCCTTATCCTGTGCCTGGAAGCAGGTTGTACCAGCTGAGAGTAAGGTTTTGTTCTGCCTCTTCTGGAAAAAAAACAGTCTGCACGTGTTGTATCCAGGTGTAGCAATAGGACTGCAAAGGACAAGGACCACAAGAGAGCAAATATCATAGCAAAATGTTTCCATTTCTTGAATTTTGCATTATCAAGCTGTATTGGCCAAACATGAGGTGTTGCTTCCCCTGCAGGTCATGGAAGACTTTCTCCTTGTAGATACAAGAACCCTTTTTAACAGTTTTAGCAGAGGCCAACAGGTTGTTCAGATGTTCCTACAGAACAACTGATCTGATCTTCAGAGAGCCAGTTTTCAGGAAAAGAGAAACCTCCTCCAAAAGTGCTTATTCTTGTACTCAAAGAGGATTTATTTGATATTCAGAAGAAGGCAGACCCATGTGTTTTTTCTGATACTCACTTCCCAGTTCTTTGAAGGTGAAGATGGCTTTGAGTGGTGGTGACCTGATGACACCATTCTGGCACAGGCAGTTCTGCTTCCAAGACCTCTTGATCCATCAGTGAAGGCTCTGATCTGCCTTTGCTGCCTGTCAGATCCCTGTCAGAAGAGCTGGGGAGGATTGAGTCTTCCAGCATCCTGCATCTCAAAGCCTTAATGTCGGATGACATCATTTTAGAGAGCTTGGTCATCTGCAGTGAAAGAACAAAGAGCATTTATCCAGGTGTATTTGTTTAGCAGAGTGGACTGGATTCTTGATCTGGTGTTCTGCTCTCTTTGGCCTTCCACTTCCTTTGTTTTGGAGTATTTGCTTGATTTAAAGTATCCAAGCTGGCCAGTTGCTTCCATTAAGGTACATTTGGCAGCTGTTTCTGGATACAGTCCCTTCTTCTGAGAGCTCTTTCGTGTTCTCTGTTTACCATTCTCAGCTGGTTAAATGCCTCCTTTATATCACTAGTATTGAAGTTACATGCTTGTATATCTCAAAGATGTTTACTTTGAGGCCTTTACTCCCTGTTTGCTCTTGTACCTTTCCATGAAGTGGCACTAGTGATCCTTGTTACCTCTGCCAGAAGTGGGGGGGAGGCTCAGGTCTCGCTGGCCAGTCAGTCTCACGCAGCCCATGTTCTTGGCAGAGTGAAGGTCCCATCCTGGTTTCTCCCGAAGGTTGGCTCTGAGCTGCACTGGAATGGGGATTTTAGCTTATGGGGTGCCTTTCCCAGACCTCCTGATTCCAGTGGATTTTTCATGACTGTCTGTTGAGAAAAGTATTCTGAAGGCTCAGCCTTGCAGGTGATCCCTGAGATCACTGCCATTACTGGAGCCTGTGGGGACAGCTCTGCTGGGGCAGCTGTTGAGTTGAGCAGTCCATGGACATACTGCAAATCCAAGGTAAAGGCAGCAGCAGTGATCCACATGTTCCCCCAGACCGTGGCCTGTTTCAGCTTTGCTCAGTGCTGTCTCTGTCATTCCAAGGGCACAATGTGAGCCTTGAGGCTCTCAGAAACACCGCTGTACTTTGCAGGGGATTCTTAAGGTGGTTGGTGTCCTGGAAATGAGCCCAGCTCCCGGTGATAATGAGATTTTAGACTACTGCAGAGGAAGGTCCTGCCATTGCTTGTGTCCTTGCGTTGCAGATGAGGGGGTTTGTCCATGTGCTGTAGTGCAGCAATTGTCTGAATTACTTCATCTAAGCTGGTTTTGTGCCATGCCCCGGCTGGTGACATCTGAGAAGCAGAGATTTCCCGTGTGCTCCAGAACACATTCCTCAAGCACAGTTGATGCCAGTGTGGAAGATGTGTGTGAAATTTCAGCTCGCTCTGTGCAGCATTCTTTTGTTTCGAAGACAGCTCTGAAATGATTTTGTCTTTCCAGAAAACCATGACTCAGGAGAACTGGGCAGACCACGTCCAGGTGAGTACGGATTTCCCGCTCCATTTCCTCAAGGTTGTTTTCTTGGAGGTGTGATTTTAAGATGTTCAGAATATCCAGCTCTGGATATTGTAGTCCTGCTGTTACAGTTTTACAGTTGCATACATCAAAGTACACGCAGGGGAGGGCAAGGAAGAACATTGATGTTTTAATTCCTGATGCTCTAATTTTGCTGGAGCATTTAGATAAGATTATCAAGTACATTCCTTTACTTGCCTGCACTTATTTGTAAGTGAACACTGGTAGTTACGTTACTTACAAGGAAAGGGGAAAAGACAGTTCACTTGAGGCAGTTAACAAGGAGTGTGAGTAAATTAGGACAAATCTTAGATTCCCTTTGCATGCTCCACTCTGATCACTTGCAGCAGCTTTGTTGGGTGACTGTTGGATGCTGTGACTTCTACCTCTTGTGCTGTAGGACACAAGTGATTTTACTAACACAGGAAGAAGGGTAGCAGTGTATTATTTTTTCTTGGTGTATAAACTGGAGAGTTCAGACAGCCGTGTTTTGGCCTGATACTACAACAAATATTTCTGTGACAATGAAATGCCAAGAAATTACAGGGTAACAGGGCATTACTGATGATTTATGTGTTCATGATATCCCTATGGAATTGCAACCTCATGGGGAGTGTTTGCTCCTTTTCTGTAACTTATCTCACTTGGAATTCTGCAGCCAGTAAAGATTTCTGACCATTGGCTGGAATCTGCCTTTGAAAACCCATAGGAATGGTCAGTGTAGACCTTAGAGTGGTAGCAGGCCAGGCTGATGACTGACAGTCTCATGCACTTGAGATCTTGGCATTGTTTGTGCAAACCAAATGACTGAATTGTAAACACAGAATCACTGTACAATCAGAGACCAGTTTGTGTTGGAAGGGATCTCAAAGCTCCTCAGCTCCAACCCCTGCCACAGAGAGGGACACCTTCCACTGGAGCAGCTTGCTCCAAGCCTCTGTGTCCAACCTGGCATTGAACACTGCCAGGGATGGGGCAGCCACAGCTTCTCTGGGCACCCTGTGCCAGCGCCTCAGCACCCTCACAGGGAAGAGCTTCTGCCTAAGAGCTCAGCTCAGTCTCCCCTCGGGCAGGTTCAAGCCATTCCCCTTGGCCTGTCCCTACAGGCCCTTGTCCCAAGCCCCTCTCCATGTTTCCTGCAGCCCCTTTAGGCACTGGAGCTGCTCTAAGCTCTCCCCTTAGGTAGCCTTCTCTTCTTCAGGCTGACCTAGCCCAGCTGTCACAGCCTGTCCTCATGAGATACTTCTTCTCTCTTTTATGGTCAGAAGCAAAAAGAACAGTTCAAAAGATGTGAGGATGTGTTTTTTAAGACAGAGACCATGGATCCAATGCCCAGCAGCATGGCATGTTAAGTCTACTGTGTGTTTTCAGTGGTGAATATGCCACTGTGTATGATAAACTACACACAGTGTAGTTTATCATACCCATGCGAGAGGCCAGGCTTTGTGCGGAAAGTCTTGCCTCTTGATCTAGGTGATCTTGTCCAGTGAAAGAACTTTCCAGGTTTCCTTTTCACCCTCACAAGTTGAAAGGATATTATAGGATCTGGTCCATTGCAGGATCAAGACTTGAGATGAGATTAGCCATGAAATTATAGCCACTATCTTCCTCACAACTTCTGGATGTACTTCAGTGTCTGCAGTGAAGGGTTTGATGGTGGATGATAGGAGCACCCTCCCAGTTTCAGATACATGGCTGCGGATCATGTCAGTCACTTGTGGAGACAGGAGGCTTAGGAATAGATGCTCTCTGAAAAATGCTTGTTTGGTGCCTGCTGTGAGAGCTCCCTAGAGAACCACAAAGAGCTCAGCTTCATGCTGGTCTCTGACAGAAGCTTCTCTTTGCTTTCCCAAAGTATTCCAAACTTTGTATTTTCTGTGTACTGCCAACTAATCTGTTTTTTACAACTATGTAATTATCACACGAGTGGTGCTTAAACTTGCCTCTTATCAGTCCTGCCTCTCAGTGCTATCAGAAATTACTGTCTTTGGCATCACTTCACAGTGATTGGAATCTGTACCTGTGCATCTGGAGGAAACTGAAGTAATCTCATGTGTAGGTTGGCTTCTGCTGCACCAAACAAAGGACAAGTTACAAAGCAGGAACCTCTGAGCAAGCTCTGGTTTTCAGGACAAAAACTAAGCTTGCCCAGGACTTTACTGTGATTGCAAGAGGTGGGTTTATGCGAGGGAAAGGTTTAACTTCCCTCGCAGAGCTTCATCAATGACCTGACATGTTTTGACAAAAAAAATCCATTAGACTCCTTGTGGGGCTGGAGGGAGTTGTGTGTCCATTTGAATGTTTGGTTCAGGCTCACAGACAATTTGTGTCTGCTGAGTTCTGCCTGGAGATGCAGTATTAAGGACGTTGTGCGGGGTAGGAGGCAGAAGATGGGCTGCAGCATAACCTCAGGAAACCAAAACTCCCCAAAGACTGCACAATGGCAAACTCCCAGTCAGAATTTGTGGATATTTTTTTCAGTTTCAAGCATAGAATCCCAGCCTGGTTTGGGTTGGAAGGGAGCTTAAAGCTCCTCCAGCTCCAACCCCTGCCATGGGCAGGGACACCTTCCACTAGAGCACCTTGCTCCAAGCCCCTGTGTCCAACCTGGCCTTGAACACTGCCAGGGATGGGGCAGCCACAGCTTCTCTGGGCACCCTGTGCCAGCGCCTCAGCACCCTCACAGGGAAGAGCTTCTGCCTCATACCTAAATTGTCCAAAGGGGTTGAAAACCTTCATGGGTTTAAAGCCCATTTTTCTTCATTTGTGCTGCAGCTGTTACAAAAGACTTCAATGATGTAGATGCCAAAGCCCTGGTGAACGTGGTGTCCCTCCGTGCTCAGTGGTGCTGGCCATGGCACGTTCCGTGGGGCTGGCAATAGACATTCCTGGGTTGTGATTTCTTTTTGCTCACCCTGAGCAGTACAAGTACGGAATTTTCCCATTCCTGCCCTGTGGGAGGAATTGAAGGTGTGATCCTGAGTGCTCCTCCAAGAGACAAAACTCAGTAGTTAATTGTGGGGCCAACAGAACCTGTTTCCAGCCCTGTAGCAAACTGGTTTTGCCCCTTTGCCACCGCCTGTGCTGCTGCTGCGCTGTCCGGGCTGTGGCTGCAGAGGAGGCAGGAGGGGAAGCAAAGGCACCTGAATGTCTTCATACCCTGGGGAAACTGCCCTCATCACAACTGCCTGTTGGCAAAGGCTGCTGAGCCTGGGGGAGAGCTACCCTTTGTATCCTCTGCTCCAAGCAGAGTTGCCTAGAGGGGAGAGGGAAGGGAAGGGCCCTCCTCTTGCCCAGTGCCAGCTGCACTGCTATTCATTAGCTTGCCTAACTGCTCCCAAGCTGCCTGGAAACCCGCGGGACAGTGCCTGTCTTCACAAGCAGAGGGGAAGGTGTGGAGGGTATTGATGGTAGATAGGCAGGAAAAAAAGAGGCAGAGCATGAGCCAATTGTCTGCTTTGCTGTATGCCCTTCTGCTTCCATCTCGTCATGCTTCATGTTGTTCCTAGCTTTAATCAGGTGCATAGAGATGAGCGAACTGGGGAGAGCAAGCATGGAGCAGGCGATACATGGCTCTGGTCAGATGTGTTCAGGGTTGTCTGCCAGTGACTGCAGAGAGCACTTGGCCAGCAGCAGGAGGGGCTCATTGAATGCTGATGTTTCCCTGGAATGTTCCCTGTTCCTGCAGGACAGAATCACTTTGAGACTGAGAAGCATGGAAGGCATTTTTCAGTCATCTGCCAAGTGCTCAGAAAATGATCACACAGAACAGTAATGTCTAGGAGGAGCATAGTAGGAAAGCAACTCTGACTGCAAATGTCACCTCTGCCAGTGCTTTAGGTGTTGGATAGTATCTGAGATACTTGCATGAGGTTGGCAATGTGACATGGGACCTACCAAGGAGCACTTCCTTCTCGGGTGGCAGCTGCTCCTTTCCAACCCCAACAATTCCATGATTCTGTGGTGCCTGAGGACAGCTCAGCACCATACACATGTGTTTTGGTGATTCCAGTTTGAGGGCTTGGGAATAGGAGGGCCTGGTACTTTGCTGCACTGCTTTTAGTGTGCAGTGTTCTCACTGGTGTTTTGGAGGTGATCTTGCAATTGTGCCCTTTTAGGCTGAGCTTGGTTGATTAAGGTTATTTGTTGATGAAGGCCAGATTGGACACAGGGGCTTGGAGCAAGATGCTCTAGTGGAAGGGGTCCCTGCCCATGGTAGGGGTTGGAGCTGGAGGAGCTTTAAGGTCCCTTCCAGCCCAAACCATTCCATGATTGTGTGGTTAGTGCCAGAGGACTCCCACACCCCTTCAGGTCTGGTCCATTCCCCGTGGGCACTATGCCCATCCATGCGAGGAGAGCACTGCCTGGGAAGCTCTGAGGTCCTGATGCCACACACAGGAAACAGTCTCAGCTTGATGAAGAAAGGTTGGAGTAGTTGTGCGGGGGGAATAACAGAATATTATGGGGATTTCTGAACAGTTACAGCCCAGAAGGCAAACACTTGCTCGATGATTTTAACATCCAGAGTACTTTTGCAGGGAATAGTTTGACTGAAGCAGAGCTAACCAGAACAGTTCAAAATGTTACCTCAGGGTACATTGGTCCTTATCTTTATTTGGACTTCTTGCCGTGGAATTCTTTTTCCTGTGGAGCTGAATAGGGTAATGGTGCACAGCTTCCTTTGGGGCAATAACTAGAATCAGTGTTGGGAGGGTTAAAACCAATGAGTTGATTTAGGACTGTCAGTGTCCTGATCAGCTGCTTTGCAACATGCCTAAGACAGTGAGGTGGTGAAGTAGTGCTTCCACTTTTACTGACCTTGAGCCAAAAGGCCTTCTGTTGCTAAATCAAACCTTCTGTGCTGGTGTTTGCATGGGGAAACCCTTTATTCCTCAAATGTGGAAATCTTAAATTGTTCCCCAATTGCTTAGGAAAAGTGCTGTTGCTTGAAAAGATGGTACTTG